AACATTTCTCTGTCTAGTGCCACCTTTAGGAAGTACCCAGCTCATTTGGTACCAGAAATATGATTTTTCAAACATAAGCCTGCCAAAGCGCCCCTAGGAAATTGAGCAAATTGACCCGAAACTAGAGTGGGAAATTGCCCAGTTTTGAAAACTTGGTTAAAAATGCTTGATCACGGTAGCAAAGTGATACTTTTAGCATTCATCAGAGCGGCTTTCCTCTATCCAATGCAATGTTTCGGAAATACTCAACTCGATCGGTAGTAGCGATAGAAATTTTTGAAAAGAACCGTTTTGCCACGGTTCTCACCCGCTGAAAATTTGTCAATTTCCATAAATCTTAAAGAATTATTGACTATGGCCGCAAATTGGAACTTTCTTCTTTTATATAAACAACTATCTTCAATTTGATGCCGCCTCTAGGAAAGTACTCAAGTCGATTCGCAGTGGGAATATGAATTTTCAAACAAGAACTTGCAGACTCACACGTTGGAAATGTAGCAGTTTCAAAAAATTCCCCAAAATTTCCTGAAAACAGGGCAAACGTGAAACTTTCACGATTTATAAACGAAATCTTCCCCTATCTAATGCGAGCTATCAGAAGGAGTCAACTCGATTGGAAGCCAAAATATGAATTTTCTGAAAATCTCTTGAAGAAGTGCCGTTGGAAATGAACTGATTTCAAAAATCCACTAAAAATCTTTGACGACGGCGGCAAATTGAAACTTTCTTCTTCTGTATAAACAACTTTCTTCAATTTGATGCCGTCATTCGAAAAGTACCCAACTCGATTCGTAGTTGAAATATGAATTTTCAAAGATAAACCCGCCGAATCGTCCGTTGGAAATGAAACAGTTTCGAAAAATTCTTCCGAATCTTCCGGAAGTACTCAGCTCGATTGGTGCCGTGAATATCAAATTTGAAATGCAAGGCTGCCAAAATGTCTGTAAAAAATTGACCATATTCGAAAAATTCCCAAAAACTTCCTGATGACGGTGGCAAATTCAAGCTGGCAGCATTGATAAGGCCGATTTTTCTCTATCCAGTACAGTCTTCGAGAAGTACCCAACTCGATTGGTCCCTGCAAGGATCATTCTCAAACATAACCCTGCAAAAACGATC